GTTGTTTTAGAACAGAAGCCGATAAGTAAATTTTTAGCGAATCAGCATGCTGTATTCAGGTAAGACAAGGCTGCTTTCACTTTGAAAAGACGTGCTAGCTGAGAGGAGTTTCGTCAAAGCTGACTAAAAGTGATCGAGGATGTTTAATTTCGACAAACTTGATGAACCTGTGATATCTTCAAGGCGTAAAAGGAAAATAAAAGCTGAAACTTTTGCACGGAACCTACACGTTACTATGGTGCCTGTAAGGTGACATGGTCGGTTCACTTAGTTTATCATAACTCGTGGGAACGGGATAATAATATGTCGTGGCCACGAGATAATTTGAGGGAATGTCATATTAACTTGTGGGAACGTGATAATATGTCGTGGCCACAAGATAATAATTTGAGGGAACGTCATATTAACTCATGGGAACGGGATAATAATATGTCGTGGCCACGAGATAATTTGAGGGAATGTCATATTAACTTGTGGGAACGTGATAATATGTCGTGGCCACAAGATAATAATTTGAGGGAACGTCATATTAACTCATGGGAACGGGATGATAATATGTCGTGGCCACAAGATAATTTGAGGGAATGTCATATTAACTCGTGGGAACGGGATGATAATATGTCGTGGCCACAAGATAATAATTTGAGGGAACGTCATATTAACTCGTGGGAACGTGATAATATGTCGTGGCCACGAGATATTAATTTGAGGGAACGTCATAATAACTTGTTTGCTCTGAAAATGTTTTCTTTTTCCCGAAAATACTAGTTAATGTTATCGCATTGGAGCAAAAGGGACCCGGCCTCAAAAAAATGCTTATAAATCACTCATGCTATATTATCAACAAAGATTGGATTCAATCTTTTTGTCAACTTCTTTTCTTTCATTTAGGACTGGTTTTGTATTTATATTTGCTTCGGATTAATCGTAGGCCTCATTTATCTGAAAGTAGGCACTTCATTTTTTGAGTGAAAAAAGCATTATTTATGAATAATTTTCACAATATTAAATAAAAACTGATGAAAATTTGCACTGTTTATTGCACTAGTGTACTTTAATGTTTAATCAGGGAGTTTGCTTTTAAATGCTTTTATTTTGTACAAAATGGCACAAAGTCACACTTGTGGTGTTCCCAGGCAAAAATGACCCGGCCTCAAAAAATTGCTTATAAATCACTCATTATGCTATATTCTCACCAAATATTAGATTCAATCTTTTTGTCAACTTATTTTCTTTCGTCGTGGCCACGAGATATTAATTTGAGGGAACGTCATATTAACTCGTGGGAACGTTATAATAATATGTTTTGGCCACGAGATAATAATTTGAGGGAATGTCATAACTCGTGGGAACGTGATAATATGTCGTGGCCACGAGATATTAATTTGAGGGAACGTCATATTAACTCGTGGGAACGTTACAATAATATGTCGTGGCCACGAGATAATAATTTAAGGGAATGTCATATTAACTCGTGGGAACGTGATATGTCGTGGCCACGAGATCACATGTTGATCATGTTCACGTTCACATATGTACGTGTGCTTGCAAACATAAAGGCCTAGGACCTGTTCATGTTTGGATGCATGCATACTCACATCTTGTCATCACACCTTCTAGACAAAATATTATGACAACAGGTATTGAGGCTTTCATGTTCTCACAAAGCAGACAAAAGTTTACTAATAAATGCTTTAGTATGGAGCCCCTAAAGGGACATGGTGGTGGAAAAAAATCAGATTGAGTGAAAAAATTTGGGGTGGGAGGAAAAAATATTTGTCAGATTTTTTGCGTTCTCTCGCAAAACTTTTGCATT